TTTTCAATTACAGGAAGCCTTGAACTCGGATGGTTTTCGCAATGAATACAAATAATTACGATCCGGAAACGGTTTCGTATTTGGTTTCTTATGAAAATTACACTTCACACTAGTCTGTAAATGGAGGTGTTATTTACAGTTTATACACGAACCTATTAATAATTTAAAAAAAAAATAAAAAAATATTTTTTTTATGCGAACGCTTTTTTGTATAGTTGTAATTATTAAATTGTAATTATCATTATCGACGAGGCCAAAATAACAAGTATAGCTGGAGGCGTTAACGAAGAAGTTGTAATCAAGTGAGTTTCTATGGAATCGGTAATCGTCGAAGTATGCCATTATTAGAAAAAAAAAATGAAAACAACATATGACTAATGTAGATAAAAAAAAGGAGAAGTTGTAATCTTTTCGAATTCCAAATAAGTGGGTTGTTTTTTTTATAAAGTATATAGTTAAAAATAAATTAACGAAGAATTCATTTTAAAAAAACGTAATTATCAAAAGTTTGAGACCAATTTAAAAAATTAAATATCAATTGATGTTAGGTGTTTTTTTTAAGAAAATCAACAAATTTAATATAAGTTTTAATAAACTTTGAATATTAACTGATTATTTCAAAATGCAATGTGAAAAAAAATATTATTGACGAAAATTTGTATTAGATTGTAAATCAAAATGTAATTATTGAGACAAATTTGAGATAATTTACCAAAGAAATGTTTAAAAATTAGATATTAACAAAAATTATTAATGATGATAATTTTGATTAGTTGGAAAATAGAACATATTAATAGGAAACGAATTTGAGATAATTTACAAAAAAAAGTTTAAAAACTGATAGATATTAACTAAGTAGTTCAAAGGAATGTTACAAAAAATATTAATGATTATAATTTGGATTAGTTGGATAATAGAACATAATAATTGGAAACAAATTTGAAATAATTAAAAAAAAAATTGAATACTGATGAATATTAATTGAGTAGTTCAAAATGCAATATCACAGAAGATATTAATGATGAAAATGTGCATTAGTTTGAAAATAGAACATGTTAATAGAAAACAAATTTGAGATAATTTACAAAAAAAAGTTTAAAAACTGATAGATATTAACTGCAATGTTACAAAAAATATTAATGGTGATAATTTGGATTAGTTGGATAATGAAACATAATAATTGAAAACAAATTTGAGGTAATTAAAAAAAATCTTTGAATATTGATGGATATTAACTGAGTAGTTCAAAATGCAATATCACAAAATATATTAATGATGAAAATGTGCATTTGTTGGAAAATAGAACATATTTGAGATAATTTACAAAAAAAAATAAAAACTGATAAATATTAACTGAGTAGTTCAAAGCAATGTCACAAAAATATTAATGATGATAATTTGTATTAGTTGGATAATAAAACATAATAATTGGAAACAAATTTGAGATAATTAAAGAAAAAGTTTGAATACTGATGGATATTAACTGAGTAGTTTAAAATGCAATATCACAAAAGATAATAATGATGAAAATGTGCATTTGTTGGAAAATAGAACATATTAATAGGAAACATATTTGAGATAATTTACAAAAAAAAATATTAAAAACTGATAGATATTAACTGAGTAGTTCAAAGCAATGTCACAACAAATATTCATGATGATAATTTGGATTAGTTGGATAATAAAACATAGTAATTGGAAACAAATTTGAGATAATTAAAAAAAAGTTTGAATACTGATGGATGTTAACTGAGTAGTTCAAAATGCAATATCACAAAAGTTATTAATGATGAAACATTTGTTGGAAAATAGAACATATTAATAGAAAACATATTTGAGATAATTTACAAAAACAAAAAATTAAAACATTAATGATGATAATTTGTATTAGTTGGAAAATAAAACATAATAATTGGAAAGAAATTTGAGATAATTTAAAAATAAAAGTTGAATACTGATGGATATTAACTTAGTAGTTCAAAAAGCAATGTCACAAAAGATATTAATGATGCAAATGTGCATTTGTTTGGAAAATAGAACATGTTAATACGAAGCAAATGATGATAATTTGTATTAGTTGATAATTGGAAACAAATTTGAGATAATTAAAGAAAAAGCTTAAAAACTGATAGATATTAGTTCAAAGCAAAATCAAATTTGGGATAATTTATAAAAAAAAAGTTTGAAACCAGATGGATATTAATTAGGTAGTTCAAAATGCAATGTCGAAAAAAATAAATTCAAAATAATAATTCTGATGTGCATTTCTTTTACAAAACAAATAGATACATTGAAGCAGTGGTCGTCTTGAACTAATTCTCATATAATTTGGCATTGTTTCACATATTCTAATAAATATTCGGAGGACGTCCATTGCCGTCTATTTTTATTGCAGCTAGTTGGCCAGATACTTTAATTGAATTTTGCAACTGGTCTAAGAATTTCTGAATATTTACACGGAATGTTTGTTATTTACTTGACGAGATGATTTCGTTATTAATTTTATGTTAAATACATTTATTTTGCTGAGAAAAACGAAAAATTTAGAGGTTAGATAACTTAAGAAAGTTAAACAACGTGTCTAGTTAATAGAGTTTGGATGAATACACAATATTTAATACCTAAAGTGTCATAATAATTTAGTATACAAGTTCCACATTAATATAAACCGAAGTTTATCTGTCATAGTAATTTGTTAATTGTCAATTAAATTTGAAGTTTACCTTACTAAAATTTATGTCTCCCTTCAAAATTTGTCATAGTAATTTTTATTTTAATGGGTAATCCGCCATCTAAGTCTATTCTCACGTCAACCTAACCCTACTATACCTAACCTAATCCAATCTGATTTTGTAGGTTAATATGCTATCCAAATATATTCTTTGGTCGTTTGAACAAAACAAAACGATTATATTTGTTTTTGCAACGAAAAAATGCAAAACACTAGTCATCGACCTGAAATCTTTAAATACCCGAGCATCAGAAACAATAAATCCAATACACGAAACAAAAACAAACCGATAAAAAGAATCGAAACTCCTAGTGACTAATAGGTTTATTTTTACATCGATTTCTTGATTCACGTTAATTGTGCTTTTTTTTTTCTTCTTCAATCGATTCTATTAATACGAGTGCTTTAGGATTAGCGAAAGGTGTGTGTTTATGTATATATAAATGTTTCCATGCAGATAATTTTCCTTGGCACGTTGCAAATATTTATGTTGTTGAAATGTCCCGACGAAATTGGGAAAATACGTTTATTTCACAGGAAATAAATAAACATAAATGTTGTTCAACTAAATAAGGAAAGAAAAAGAAAGCGGTTTTTCAATAAAATCAATAAATTAAAATTGTTTTGAAGTAAAATACAAAAAATTGTAACCTTTAATAAGTCGAAAAATAATATTTATAAGCTTATATCATTCCTAAAAATAGTATAATCTGAATTTTTTTACCATTAATTCAATAGAGTACATATTCTTTCATTCACTGTAAATTATGAACGGAATTATTCAATGAAGTTATAACGAAATATTTGATTTTTTTATATTTGTTTGTTTTGTCGTTAGAAAATTTATAATATTTATTTTTAATTAAAGTTAGCATTTTCCATTGATTAAATAAATTTTAAACTTATTTAAAAAAAAATTCTTTCATGAAAACTTTCAGGAATTGCTACATTAGATGCACGTGCCGTTTATTTTCTTTAATGAAAGTTTCAGCATATAATTATAGAGAATTTTTGGCAAAGAGAGATTTACACTATTAATACATTGGAATGTAAAACTTGCAAAGTACGTTTGAATTCTATAATTTGCCCCATTAGTAAATCAATTATTTACAACAGTTTTATCTGGTTGAAATTATGTAAGTTTTATATTCAAGTATTGTTACATGTTTTTCTAAGAACTCCACGTATTTTATGTAACAAAAACTTGTATTGGAATTAGTTTACTCCAAAATATAATAGAAAACATAATACAAAAGTATAATTTCTAGATTATTCTGCAAATTTTGTTTCAGTGTAGTACTGAATTTAACATCTGTTATGAATTATATAAGCAGGCCTAGTAATTGATGTTATACTTCGAATTGCTAAGTATTTAAGTGGTTCACCAGATGCTGTTTTCATTGCATTAAGAAACGAATTAAGAAGTAAAATTTACAACTTATAATTGGAGTATAAGTGAACGATTTACAACAATTTATCGATTATAAAGCTCATTGGTTCATACCATATGTAAATGACATCATTGAGAATATGAAATTTGTCTAAATATTTTAATAGTTTTAAATGTTATTTTTCCTTTATTGGAAGACATATGAGAAACACACTTATTACAAGATAGTGGTAATTTTAAATGATGAATGATCAAGTCATGTAAAATTTCAAATAGATCATGTACTTGTCATATGTCAATGCTTAACAGGTGTACCAACTATTAGGAGTACTTGATTTTGTGTACAATTGTATCTGTATGTCGTTTCAATTTTAATAGTTGGTACAAATAAAAATTGTTTATGTCTCATTATATCATAGGTACGAAAGAGTATCTAGGTAATGTAAGAATCTTTCCTTAATATTCCATATATCTATTTCATCTTTGTATGTAGTTAAAGCAACAGGTGTAAAATAATTTCCATTCAATGATCATGTAGTATATGCAACCACTCGTATGGATTCGTACAAATTTGGTCTATGTGAATCATCCATCTGATTTTTTTTCCTAGTTGATCATCATTTTTAAAGCTTCCATGAATCATAATGATCTTATTCTATGTACGTTTACCCTTTTATCTATAGACCAGTTATTATCTGTTATTCGTGCGATGACCGAAAACCCAAAGGTCCAAAACAACTTACACAATAATCGCATTTAACACATGCTCACTTGGACGAGAGAAACCTGTTTTTTATTTTAGGTAGGTAAAATATGCTCGAGCAGCAAAATTAATGGCAAAAACAACATCGCCGAATCCGTACGAATCCTGTCGATCCTTGCGGTACGCACATAAACATACAGTCGTCGCAAGTGGGTTGCGTCGTAAGGACGTCAACTGTAGTATTATAACCAATCAGTTTTACACACTTCATCTCACAGCAGTGTATGCATATTCTGCACTGCCCCATGTAAACGGTTTGTGCTTAAGCTGTGCAGTGTGTCAAGTGGTTGGTTATGTTGTATAAGGAAGAGAGTATCTTAACACCTCCATAAACAAAACACATCTAATACTAAAGCAATGGTAGGTACAACAAACTAACCATGACCATAATTACTTACAATTTCCATGCGATTTCCACATAATAACAACGTTTCCAATAAATTGTGCTGTGCCAAGTTGGGTGACATTGAAACCACATTGAAATATTTATGCAAGCTCTGTAAAAAAAAATATTGAAATATCTTTATTACATCAGTGATCTATGTATAATTGCTATGGTTGCAACAATTATTCATTTATTAAGCTAATTGATGCAAACCACTTGTTGCTTCATCAATTTGTTGGAACTCTTCTTAATTGATGGATCAATTGAATATCCACATTTCCATGGAAACTGTTGTCATCAGTTAGTGTGTCTTGTGTGCAACCTACAATGTCCAACATAATTGATCCATATCTGAAATGTCACTTTATCTAATCTATTTTTTGCCAATTCTTAATTATTATTTTTTTTTTGGTTTGCTCATTGATACGAAACAATATCCTATGAGTAACACAATTTGGTGAGAGTTTTATTTTATTATTTTGCCAATACTTTATTTAATTGGATTTTATAGGATTCAAATATCATTGAAATTGTTTACTTCTTTCATGACTTCAAACATTTGTAACTGAAAATATTATTTTAAAACATATTTCTCATAAACAATATTTTTTTTTTACTAAAATTTAACAAGAAACTGCACACAACAAACTTGATTACTTCCAGCAATTTGTTTTCCTTGATTATTATAATTAATTTAATCACTGTTAATTATAATGTTTGTTCTAGAAATAAACCATTGTTTTCATTGTCTATATTATGAAAGTCAATTTTTACTTAGTCAATAATACTTGAATGTTTAAGATTTCACCTAGTAATATTTTAAACATTGTAACCAACCGTTATTGACAATAATTTTTTTTTTGAATATTAATAATTGCTTTATAAAATATATTTTTATGTTTATAACCAATATGAGTCGAGACACAAACATATTTTTGTGCTCTCAATCATAATTAATGATGCCGCAGTATTATTTGCATCTGGGGAATTCCCCTCAATCACTTGTTTCCGACATGCAACTGTTGCAATGTTTGATTTTCCAATGCGATGAGCGAAAATTGCTGTCATGTCATGTTACCATGGTTATTCTGAATTTAAAATAAACTAATTTTACAGATGAAAGTTTGATTTAATTTAATGTTACTATTTTTATAACCTATATTTTTTTCAAATTTGTTTTGATATTATTTTCAAAATGTTGGTATTACATGTCAAATTTTGTTAATTGTTTTTGACCTACGTCAAAATTTTAAAATTATGTAATATTTATATAAATAAAAGAATTACATTACAATAAGTAATTGATTTCAGTAATTATAATTGAATAGTTATGTTTTAAAAATCGCTAATTATAACAAAGACAAAAAAAGTAGTATTAAAGTTTGTATGATTTATTGGACAGAAAGTTGTTAGATCTTGAAATATGCAGTGAAAGGTTTAATGCCAACATAAAAAAAATATGATATATCGAAATACCGAAAATCAATTCTACAATTGCCTGAGGATAAATTATGAAGGAATCTTCGCTCATTCATCTTCATTTGTTTTAACATTTACACAATACTATTTCTATTTCGAACCTCTGTTTATATAATTTTTTCCTTGCTTCTTTATGTTCAAACAATTTGATGATGCAAAACATCGTTAAAAAAATCTCACTAATTTCCTTGATCTTACCTTTGAATAAATATCGCGTAGTTTGAAATGAAACGTTTTATTTATAGTATTTTTATGTTTAACTGAAAATATAAAATTACATGTGTCTCGTTTCTTTTTCGCAAATTCGCGTTACTTTGCAAGTCACTTGCCAAATATGACAAAAAATACACTTGAAGTGTATGTCTAGTTCAGTTTTAAATTACATAATACTTGACAAGTTATTTGTAAAGTAACATGTAAATCGAATGTTAACATATGGTTGAAAATCTGTTGATTGTTGGTTTCCATAAATTGTTGTGTCAAAAGTAAATATACTTGAAATGAAATAAATAGAAAACAGGTCGTTGAGGGCAAATGTAAATATTTTCTTCCGTATTCTATAGAAACGTAACGGAACAAAAATCAATCGTCGCTGAAATTATTTAACCGCTCGCCTTGATCAATTTCCTACTACCGCGTATTTAGTGAACGAGACAGCCCGTCCAGTTTGCATTAAGCGCTGAACATTAAAGAACATCAAAATTCATCATTCGTGGTTCGCACGTGGGTGGCTTTGCTTTATTTGGATACAAAAAGAACAACACTCAACTATTATAAACTATAAATAAACGTAAGTTAAAGAAACAGAAAGTAACAATTTAAATTATTTCGTAAGTTTCGAATTATTTCAGATGTTAGAATATTTCAAGTAATCTTAAAATAACACTTATACAATAGTTTTTTGGCAAACATTTATAAATGATTGTAAAGTATATTAAACATTTCAAATGAAAATAGGACAAGAAAAGTGACAAACTTAAAAGTGTTTTGAAATTATTTAAAGTTGCGATAGTTTTTTTTTAGCAAAAACAAACATAAATTGTTACAATTTATATACAAAATAGAAACGTACATAAATTTATTTTTGAGAATTATAAATATTTAAAGTTTATTTTTGCCAGAATCTAATAAAATGACATCAATTCTTCTTTATTGACATACATCTGACATAAGTCAGTTTAGGTTATGATCAAAATTTCAATTTTTTAATGTATACTTTTGCATTACACTTAAATCTGAATGGGTAAAAGTAAACAATAATATTATATATACATAAAATTTTGGCAAAGACAAATAATGCGATTCACATTTTCTTTGGCATGGCATTGTGTCTCTAATTTGGAGGTCATATATTCTAGCTCCCATTTAAATTAAATTATATTAAATTTGCTTTAGTGGAAAACAAAATTAATCTTAAGCTTTAATTTGACGTTAAAAAGTTGTTTATTATCGACAATTATTATCAAATGTTAACCTGCAAACAATCTATATTTGATTGACAGTTTAATCAAAAATGACATAATAACAAATTATCAACTGTCAACCTTCAATTCTTTAGCAAATAAATTGAAATTTTAATAATTAATTGATATATGTCAACCTTCAAACCTTATAAGTAAATTATATTTGGTTATGACAAATAATTTACTAGTATGAAAAATTCTTGCAAATCTTAAAACTTATATCAAAATGAACTTATAATTATGAACTCATTTTATAAGTAGATAATATTTGAATCCACATGAGTTCAATCATGAATTTAAAACTATTTGAATATATTTGTTATCTGAAAAACTATAAATGAAGCACGGGCATTCAAGATTATTTATGTTTGTGTTATTAGCATTCATTTCTAGCATTGAATTGCATGCATGATTCATAAGTATTACATGGCGTTTGCTCAATAGAACAGTTTGATTAAACGAAATGGATTTGTGGAGAGCGCGTGATACATTTCTCATTCTCAAAACACTAATATTTTCTACACACTGAGCAAACAATAGTTCAGCATTTTTCATTCAGCATAAATTCATTATTTTAAAATCCAATAAATAAGTAAATATTTACTTTAATTTATATATATTTACATAAACGTTCTAAACGTTTAATCTACCTGATAATTTAAGTTTTATAAGATTTCATTCTTATATTTTTACATAGTTTAAGTATTAGTTTTTATTAAAGAAAAACATTTATAAATTGTATATTTGAATTTACAATTTATATATTTTTTTTTCTTTAAAATTATTCTACACTTAATCCTATATTACAATTAAATTAATTTTATTAAATTATTATGTAATTGTTATTACAGTTAAAAATATTTAAGTTATATAAATGCGTGTGAAAATCTCATTGTAATCACATATTTTAAAAGCAAAAACGACAAAATTCATCTAGAATAATGTTATGTTACAGTGTTAAATTCTTATCGCTCAATTGTATTGTGTGTTGTTATTTTCGTTTCACATTTCCTGATTGCGTAACACACATATATTTTTGTATTGTTTGTTATATCTTGAAAAGTAGAGACCTTTTGTTGAATTTTTATCATCAAATTAACAATTTTGCTATCAAATGTATACACCGTTATGTATACTGTTACAGGTCCCGTTTAACGATGTCTCATTTTACAACTAGTCAATTTAGAACTTAAAAAATACTTACAAATAGTTACCTAAGAAATGAATAAAAAATCACTTTCTTGGTGATTTAGATCAAAAATTTATTAGAATTTTAATTACTAAGAATATTCAAAACAATTGATGATTTTTATAAATAATTGAACAAGTTAATATTATTAAATATTAACTTTCGGTTAATTTTTCAATCAAATAATTGTTAATTAAATAATTTTTAGTGCTACTTCCTAGATACACGATTCTTCAATGTCAAAACTATTCATGTAAATATGCTAGACGTCTGTTGTTAATTACAAATTCCAACAGAAAGTGTTTGTGCGTTTAGTTTAGTGTACTCTACAAAATTTGGAACACATGTTTCTGCAAGACGTCATGTTTAATTCACACGGCGTACGTACACATGACACCTTATAAATTCGTGTCATTTACATTTTAAAGTGTTTGTTTACCAAGCACAATGTGAACATTCGATTATATAATTGATGTTTATTTAACAAATATGTTCATTGCAATTATTAAAATATTTAAATTTTACAAAAGAATCTATTATTTATCAGTAATTTTTATAGGTTGGGTTGAAAATGGCAGCTGTCACATTAGGTAAATGCGTCAAAAATGTTGTTATAAACAATTGGGTCAAGTTGGAAAAAAGGCTGCGAATCGTTAAGTTATAACATAAATACTAGATGTAATTTTGATTTTGGGAACTTCTGATATTGATTTTCTTCATTAACGTGTCCCAATTTCTTTTCAACGTCATCTTATTTTTGTTGTCCTACTTACTATTATTTAGAATATCAGCAAAAAAGATACATAATTAACGTAACCTTACATAATTTAACCGCATCAAACCTAACCTTAATTAAAAAGAAGTTGCGAATTTGATTACATAAGAATTTTTTGTTTTATTTTGTAAATATTACTTGGAGAACATGTATTGTTGATAAATATTTGAACATATTATTAAGTAAAAATATGTGATTTGCGAAGTTGTAGTTAACAGAATAAAAGTAACGAAAAACAATAGATAAGATGAACATAAAAATCCGATCATCTACTGTATTTTTAAACAAAATCAATATGTTGTTGTAAAATCAAACTAACAGTAAACAGTGTACAAGTCAGAGGTCACCGAACTTGTTCGTTCCAGCCTTGATCTGCAAAATACTTTAATGTTATTCTGCATTGTGGTGATTTCATCTCAGATCTTGACCCATTGTGTGTACATTGGAAAAGCGAGCGAGCTCGACGATGATGCAATCCATTTAGAAACTTATCCGACATTGAATCGTAGCATTTCCTTTCTCGTCCAAGCATAAAGTAGTTTCAACTCAAAAACTAATAGATTTCTTTATACATTTAACGTTGTTTCTAGACGTGTGTAATTCTATTTTAATGGTGCAAAACGTTTGCCAAAATAGTTACATAGTTTGTTTGATTTTCAAGAACAATTTTCAATAACATTTCGATTTACAATCGATCAGCTCATAAATTTATAATTTAGACAGTCCATTATCATCAAAACGCTCTTGAATTCTCAGATGCTATCGAGTATTCTAAGTATTTGAATAATATTCAATATTTGGACGTTAGTAACATGATTTGGTTAAAGAAATAACAAGAGGCGAAGGAAGAATTTCAAATAAATGAATGGCTATAGTTTTTACAACAAATAAGCTCATCAATTTCAATCAATTTATACCGTGAATGTATTTTGAGAACTTTGCATTTCCAGACGTTCTGATATTATTCCAATTATAAGTTTTCGCTTTTCGAAAAAGTAATTCTCAGTATTTGAAATAATTTTCAATATTTATATTTTGGTTCTTAAATGGTGATTTTCTTAGTAAATTGTAAAATAATTATAATACATAAGAATAAAAATATATATCTGAAGAAATAAGAGAGTTAATGAACAATTTAACATCAAAAAAGGCCCCACGTTGGTCGCCTTTCTTATATAACGTGTTATAACAACCGGTAGGCGTTGCAAAGCCATTGTTGTTTTAAATTTAGTTGTTCCTGTGTTTCCATAGTAGCAATCTGTTAATTTAAATAAACCATTCTCAGTTTTTACAGTCTCGTTCTAGCAAATATTTGCAATGAAATAAACGCACGAAGATAAAAGCGGTAGCTCATAAAAAAAAATAATCCCGGGAGTCTAACTGCGTTTAGAGAACGATATTATTTGCGAATGGGCGAAGATAAACAGAACAAACAGTTTTTGTTTACTGTTGGTAAACACGGATGTTTTCGATGGTTGCTGGGCCTCTTATCAGGAAGCTGCGAACCCAATTAGTAGTTAAGATACTTTCCAAATAGAGTGCGTTTTTCTTTATTCAATTGCTTTTCTTCTGTGTGTTTGCAGAGTCTCCTCGTCCAATGTCCGTTTGGAGCACAGTCGGCCTAACTTTAGGCAACAACTTCGCAGGTGCCAAATCCGCAACAGATTCTTCAAGCACGACCCGACTGTTCCAGAGGTCTCACAACAAGGTAAGCACACGCGACAAGTAGTATGTTTTAAAAAAAAAGTTTGCAAAAGTCGACGTTGTGTGCATGATTGATTGATCGTCCGGTAAATACTTCTTCCTGATCAAAAAAAATCATTGAAAATATACGAAAGCAAAGCGAAGAAAATGTAAATACATTTGCAGAATTTTAGACGAAATATCAATGTTTATATATGCGAAAAAAGCGTGTTGAAATGAATCTTGAAAAGAACGGAATATTAACCAAAGTGCTTTTAAAACACATTTTTTTTCAAGAAGTTTCTAAATTTAATTTTAGCTTAGATAAACATAAACAATCGAATTATGAAAATATATAATGGGAATGTTGATACTTATTCCTGATCAAACAGAAAATTACAAAATAAAAAAACTCAATACAATAATATAAACATCATAAATAAAAAAAAAAACTGCTTCAAATGTCTATTGACCCTGTCATTTTTATTAGTCAATTTATGTCTTTACATTACAGAAATTAGATAAAAATGCATTGGACCTAGTTAGGATCCTTGAGGAACTTTGCAAACTAGCTTGTTGTAGAATTAATAATATAATCAAATTAAAGAAGTAACAGATGGTAATGAATACGTGATTAGGATTGTTGTTAGTCAAGGTATTACTGTATACTATGATTTTTCATTAAGAAATTCCACGATGGAAGGACACGACGAGAAAAAAAAACTAACAGTCAATGACGATCTTATTTAAACAATATAATTAAACGGAAGAGAGACAACGTCAAGGTGCTTTAGCGGATTAAAGGTATAATTTGTGATATAATTGGTTTTTCATCAATGAAATAACGATTGAAGTGAACGCGTTCACTTAGAATCTATTACTTTCATAGTTTCCTATTCATGACATCATCCGATATTACATTACGACGACGCATTATGATTACAAACATTTACAGAACGTCTGCGAGGAGGACGTATGCTAATCGAAGGAGGAATATTTCTGTCTCTAAAAAAAAAATAAGAAAATAAATAACTATTCATGGTAATGCTCGAAACCAAGGATATTGCGATACGCGGAAACAATTGGAAATAATTGCACGCTCTGAAAAACGGAAACGACGATTCAATTGCAACTTTATTTCAGATCAGAATTCTACGTAATTCAGGGCTGCTGTATTTAACGAATTATGTATATATACATAATAATATACGAGGATGTTTATTTGCAGGATTATTTTCTTTATATTTATCTAATTATAAATATAATTTCATAGTCCAACTATAAGTTGTTACATAACTTATGGTTAATTAACTTGACGTTGTCATTAAATTTATATTAAAACGTCAATTTGACGTATCTCTAAACAAACAATTGTTATTGCCAACTTATTAATAACATTCAACTGCAGATATGCAAGTCGTTACACAACATTTAAAGGATGTAAATCCTTCAGAAAAGCGTCTCTAATTGTTTTATTTATAACTTAACCTAATATAACAAATCTAATATGTAACGTAACCTAAATGTTACTTAACCTACAATTTTTCTTATTTTGTCATGAAGAACTTATATTGTAAATAAATTCTGAATTTGTTGTACGAAATTTTATATTAATTGTACGTCTTATGATTTTGTTTTCTTAAAAAAAAGAACCGTATTTCACATATGACTGGATTCTATTTTGCACACTTTAACATTCTAACTTTATTAATCATCGCGTTAATACAGGAAATGTGGTTTGTGGTTTTTTTTATAACGAAACTCATTCAATTTTCCATCGTATACGATATTTTATCAAACCACATGTGTTTTAAATTTTGCTCAAAAGTTGGTGCATAAAACATAATTTGAACGTTTGGAAAACTTTGTATGGAATATGGATTTTTCATAATTATTTCAATTCTGCCATCTAAATATCATCGTTTAATTATTAATAGTGTCCTTGAAAAATAATTACAAGAAAGTCAATTCATCAGTTGAATATTTTATAGTTTTTACGCTATATTTGTCAAGTACGTGATTTGCGTGTAACTCATCTACTTACGCTAGTAACTATAATACCTGCTATCATAATAATCACGTATTGCATATACCTTTTAAGTTGGTACACACATAACAAGTACTTTTCCAAGTTGTCAATTACATGTCTTTGAGATTTTACTATTATTGTCATCTTAATGTACCGATTCTTAATCATTTACAAAAATATACAAAGATTAATAATCTAATGGTTAATGTTTTTTTTATAGTTGGTTTCCTGAATATATATTTTTCTTGGCGCGTGTATTATTACCAAGAAAATGTTATAAAACTGAAATGAATAGAAACGTGCTTGGAAAACAATCGCTCTCCAATTTAGCAACGCTAATCACTTAAGTACACATGCACAAGCGCATTGGAATATTATTTTTATCGCTTTAATGAAACTGCGCTTCTTTTTATTTATAATTGCACAAATATTTATGCTTATATGATTATAGAACCAACTGAACGCATGTCTCTGTATATTTGCGTTACGACATTGCGATTATGTAATTTTAATAAAATATTCAAAATTATACAAAAAAAAAAAATAATTGACAGTTATATTATTACTAAAATCGCATGTTCATATGAAAATAAGTTCGTTTTTTTAATTATTTTTTAGAATTACTAAATTTGAAATAACATGTTTTGTCATAAATTAAAAAAAAATATAATAAGTAAGTGGAAATGTAATATAAAACAAAAATCCGACCACATTTCTTTCCTTTTACGAAGAAACTATTAGAATTATTAGTTTATATGCAGTTTGGGTTACTGATGTTTATTTATGTATAGATATGGATAAATGTTAAGGAGTGAATGTTTCATAACGAATCATTGTTAAAGTTCTAATTTTAATTTCAACTTATGTTTATGCAATTGAGTAAAACAATTAATTACCTAGGCAACCGATTTGTTATACTTATTTGACGAGTAAGTGACATTTCATGATCATGATCCATCATCAAAATAAACCGAAACTGTATTTGACTAAAACTTATTCAATTTTATTATTCAGAGCATGAGTCACAGTCGTTCTCTTACGTACTATGATTACAAACCTTGCCAATTCGTAAGTGAACGAAAAGATCTTCTGAGTATCCATCGAGACGTTCGAATCTAACGTGTGTTTCTTTCTTGATGTCTGCAGTGCAGGATGTCGCAGTCCGGAGATGAACTGCACACGGCCAGATACCTGTCCTGGAGGAAGCTGCACCTTAGTCGCGCCAAATTGAAGGCTTCCAGCAAGACGTCCGCCCTCCTCTCCGGTTTCGCCATGGTAGCGATGGTCGAACTACAACTACAGAATCCCGAGAAGATACCAGCTGGAATACTGATCGCATTCGCCGTCATCACGACCCTCCTGGTTGCTGTCCACATGCTCGCGTTGATGATCTCCACCTGCATCCTCCCGAACATCGAGGCCATCTGCAGCCTGGATGCCATCAACCTGGTGGACGAGAGTCCGCACGAACGTCTGCATTGGTACATAGAGACGGCGTGGGCGTTCTCCACGCTGCTTGGGCTGATCCTCTTCCTCGCCGAAATAGCGATACTCTGCTGGGTCAAGTTTTGGGAGATCAATCAGATCGCAGCGTGGTCGGGGTGCGCGATCCTCCTGCCCATCCTCTTCGTGTTCCTTGCCTTCGCCATACACTTCTACAGGTCCCTGGTGTCTCACAAGTACGAGATGACGGTGTCGGGAATTAGGGAGCTGGAGATGCTCAAAGAGCAGATCGAGCAAGGAGATGCAGATCATAACAGGAGCAACGGGGTCGGAGACCTCATCTCCGGCGTGCACATCGTATGATTGCCATGACAACCGCTCTAACAAAGATAAAGATGATTGTATCCATAGGAACGTGAATCTCGCCTACACCCTTTTACTCATACTAAATAGGAACGAGAGAGCGAACGTACTGCAGCACGTGCAATACGCCACAAAACTTGTTTCAAAAACAAATACACAATTACTATATTTATATATTAATTAACAAAACAAATAAGTCGTTGTCATTCCTTAATTCTAGTGCAAGAAATGTAAAATACGCGTGACTTAATAACGGCTCAAATACTTGTGTTTAGGCTTCCGCTTCCTTCTTCGATTCAAGCCAATATTCCGCGCCGACTTTAATCATCAGCGCTCGAATATTGTCCGAGAGGGAAGCGATACTTAAAAGTGCTTAAGACATGACACGGAATTATATTAATATCATTATTTTTTATTTATTTTAATTATATTATTATTACCTTTTAGAATTGAAAAACTGTGATTGTTACTCAATTAATTAATTATATTATCTCGGAAGCGTGTGTACATATTTACTTGTGAGCGGAAAAAAAAACATATTTTTTGAAATGACGGTTTGTTGGGGTGCGTGTATACATTTCTTTTTTTATATACATATTTATGTAACATATACGCGGAACATGATTTTTTTGTATTGTACGTCGATTTGATCGTGAGAAAATAAATGAAATTTGGAGGGATTTTCTTATAGAGTGTTCAATGATTTCTCGCTGGAGTCCAGCGATTCTTGAAGATTATCTTCGCTGTCCTCCCCCAATGCTCTATCCTCGGCCATCTTGCACACCATATCCGGATCCTTCAACTCCAACTAAAATAATGCAAATAGATATAGTTCTCTAACTTATTTAAGATGAATTTTAAAGATAAAACTATAGATATTCCAATTAGCTTCTTTTTAAATTTTTAGTGATGACCATTTTCCTGTTATAAGCTTTTGAAATTTCGATATTTTTTTTTGTTTGAAACTCACCAGTTGCATGAGGTATTCTCCTGGGCAACAGCAGATCTCGTAGTAGGGAATGTAGACCAAATGACTGGTAACGCAGATATCCTTGACCCAGACTCCTTCCTGCATTTCTCCGACGTGCAGATGAAAGTACCGTCCTCGTCCATGCTTGAGGTCGTTCTTCCAGCCACCCTCGTACCTGTTACCATCCGGATACACGTACATACCTAACCCGTGCTTCACATCGTTGGCCCAATCTCCGTCGTAGAAGGCTCCATCGGCCATCCAATACTGTCCATATCCGTGTCGCTTGTTGCACCGGAAGTACCCCTTGTAATAACTGTGATCCGGATAATGCCTCTCCCCGTACCCATTGTAAAATCCGTCCTCCCAATTTCCCCTGTACTCCAAAACAAGCACATTTTCGACGTCCTTAGCCGCGGCTATGCCGAATCCGTTCGGATAATTTCCTGACCAATTACCCTCGTAGTACTTTTTGCTCTTCATCTGCATACTACCCAAACCTAAAATGCACCATCAACAATCCAAATAACATCATAACCATAAGCAACGTACTTTCCTTCTTGCTGTCCTTCCATTGGCCCACGAAAACGCTCTTTTTATTCGTATTGATGGCATGTCTCAAGCCCTGTCTGTGAGCTAGATTCTGCAGAACGCGAGAACGCGGCTTCTCGTACAGTTTGCACTTCAGGAATGGCATCGTATCTTTTCACTTAGGCTCTGATCAATGGGAGAGCATCGTTTTAATAGTTACATCGATACCAGGCTTATTACGAATTCGTTTTCCGATCGCATTGCGTGCGTTCAACGAATCGAAATTTTAATGGAATGTTTAGAGAGGTTTCCGCGAGCGATGGAACGAGAACTATTTGTCAAAAAAAATACAAAATTGATTATTTAATTGAGGGGAAAACTGTCAGTGCCAATCGTGCCAAGATACATGCCCTTTTCAGAAATAGACCCTTCATTCCTTTACAACACATCAAGGTGAGAAAACGAAAGGTCATCATGAAATAATGCAAATTCTATATGTATATATCTATATTGTAGATACTAACATATTTCAAATTTCTTGCATCATAAGTAAAGTATGTTCTTTATTTTTCAATGTATTTATTAACTTTTTTTTAAATCTATTAATAATCAATTTAGTAGAATCAATCAATTTATAATTGAATTTATTTTCCTTTTGTAAGCTTCTAAATTGGCTACATGTACACTTGATATAATTTTTGATGTTTTCAGTTTATACTGCTAATCCTGATGTTAATTAGATCATCCAATACTCAAATTAAAGCTGAAAGTCTCATATTTTCAACAAGCTTACTCGCAGCCTTCTACCTCCATTTGTTCGTCTGGTATGAGCTGAAAAAAAGTGTCGTTGCTGAAAATGAAAATCGTCACGTTTCATTAATTTTAGAATAATCACGAAGCAAAATTACACAATTCAACAAAAAATGTAAACTGGAGACCGTTGTGTTTCGAATTATACAATTCTAGCATTGATATTTTGATTTTGAATGGTTCTGAAAATTACCGAAATTTTGCGCGATTTTTGCGAAATTTTCGAATTTCGTTAAAACTTGAAAAATAATGAACTTTTTTCTGATTTTGTTGCACAATCAGGTGCCAATTTTCAGCTTTTGTCTGTTATTCAAGATTTTTCTTGATTACTCATAAGTTAAATAACTTTTATACATGTTTATTGTTATGTAAGTCTTCAGTTTTAGATTAATTTCAGGATATCCACGAAGACTTTATTCTCATTATTGTATAATCAGGTGCTTGTATTGCGCTATAATATTGTGTTGTTATATTATAAACGATAAGCTGTGTTTTTCTGAATTTCTCTTACATTTTATTGTTGCATAAAAAGATCACTACCGTTATGCAATTTATTGTGTAACAAAAGTTACGTAATGTACATTAATTACCTAAATGAATACAGACTTTATTTTGTATTTATGTATGATAAGTTGCCTATGTATCAATGTTAGGGAAAACATGTTTATTTTTGGTAATACATGCTAACATGCAATTGCAGTACATGTTAATTAATGTTTTTTTAATGTTAAGTTAATTAATAGTGGAAAATTTGATGATGTTCTTTCTAAGTTTTGTTTTCCTAATAGTTGGTACGCTTGTAAAATTAACCTCTTTGGTCCGAATTTAATATAAGTTCAATGAGAAGCGTTGTCCATTGTTTGCGGTTATAGTATTGGAAATTGTTGTTTGTTTGTTGCGGCTTTTGGTTTACAGTTGTTTTTCTTCCAATTCGATTCGAAGATCATGGATGAACTGAGCAAAGGAAAGAAGCGGAAGTCGTGTCAAGGTATAATCGAGTTAAGTGATGATGAAAAAAGTGCTCAGCTCTCGAGGAAGAACGATAACGAAGAGCCCGTAAAAAAATGCCCAAAAATTTCTAACCTAGCAAGCGGTGCCGACGATGGCCTGATTGATTTGGTCAGCGAGGCGAGCAACGAGAACGGTTCAAATGATTCCAGCGTCCAGGTGATCGAACCTAATGTCTCAGTAATCGAAATCCATGATTCAATTGTCGAGGGGGATTCAATAGAGAGCGTCGAGATGTGTGTGGTCGATTCAACATCCCTCAACACTACTGCAGTGAAGGAGTGCAAAGATGATCAGAATATTGTCAGAGACAGTCCACATGAATCGACAGGAGGCAATGCTGTCCAAAGCATACAACTGTCAGACGACAGTGCGAAGCCTGCAGACTCAAGCTCACTGGACTCCACTCCGAAGAAGAAAAGTAGCAAGAAGAAGAGCAGGAATTGTTCAGATTTTATAGCGACGAAAGCATCCACATTCAAAGGAATGAATGAAGACGCTGATGGATCTCTTATTGTAATTGACAAAGTCGGCGATTGCCAGACGGATGAGGAATGCGAACTGGCAGACCCTGATGGAGAAGAACCCACCTCCAATTCACCCTTGATAACAATAACATTTAAAAATTCAAATATAAAGTCCAGGTACAAATATAAGTTTACTAAATTCCTGGCCAAATTCAAGGAGTTGAAAGCTGTGGAATCAAAACATACCATTCAGATGGTAGCTAAGAGAGATTCATTGTTTGTACTTGACACACAGCCATCTGATCATGGAGAGAATAACACTATGTACACTACAAAATATGAAGTAACTGGGGCTCAGAAGGAAAAGAAGGAAGATGATAAAGTTAAATTCGTGCAGACATGCTTTAACTGTGATGGTTCACATTCCTTAAAGGATTGCCCAGAACCAAAGGACTTTCATAAGATAAACCAAGCCAGGAGGCTTTTCAAACAGAATAATAATGGACAGTCTAACGTGTAAGTGTTAAAATTCTTGTAATTTATTAAAGCATTCATTTAATTTTATTATAGTCGATACCATGTTGAGGAAAATGCTGAGTATTCTCATTTAGTACCAGGGAAGGTATCTGACAAGCTGAGGAATGCCTTGGGGCTAGGTAGTGATGAGATTCCAGCACATGTATATAAAATGAGGCTGATGGGATATCCTCCTGGATGGCTGCAGGAGGCAAAAGTGGCTGCATCAAATATGAATATTTACTTGGATGTATCAAAAATTGGTAAAAAGAAGAAACAGAAGCAGGAAACCATTGATCCTGAGAAGGTTGTGGATTATCCTGGTTTCAATGTGCCCACAAAGCAAGGAATTTTTGATGTGAGTATTGAATGTGTTATTGAAAAAAAAACAAGTCGATATTCTAAAGTTTGTTTATTTTGTCCTTAGCATTATAACAAATATAGAGTTCCTGCATTCTCGGAGATGTGCAATAAGAATAAAATGATTGATTGGTTCAACAATAAGGCGATTGACGAAGCCGAGGATCAACAATCATCTGACATGGATTTAGATGCTGATGCATCACAGGAAGCTGCATCAGAGGTAATATTTTTTTTTATAATTGTTACTTCAATTTCAACATTTTTTTTTATTTATAAATAACTTGTCCGATTTTGAAATATTTATAAAATGTTTAGGAAACTTTTAATAATTATCATCATAGTAATAATTTCAGAAATTGTTAAAAAGTTGTTGGAAATTTAATTTTCTGTTTGATAATTCAAAATCTATTAAAAGATTATGAAGCATCAGAAAATACTGCTGAGAATGAGCGTAATTCGAACTGATAATATTATTATTTACTAATAATCAGGAAAGTTTTCCTGAAATTATCCTTAGTATGCAACACAATATATTATACTGTGATAACGAAAAAAAATAAGCTATAAATATACTCGGCCTACACTTACAAAACGTGTTTGTTCGTCGTGAATTCTTGCCAGGTGATTTGGAACAAAATATTTTCATTGTCGTACCTGTATACAATTTCAATGCGAAGTATTGATTGGAGAAAAGAGGTCGTCGACCTACGACCCACACAGAATGAACTACATATATTTTTAGAATCACAAAGCGGATTTGATTAAAATTAAAGTTCTCTTCATAGAGTTCATAATGATTCTTAGCAATAAATAAAAATCTTCTATGAAAATTATTAGTTTCGTTTGCAAACTTTATTTTATTATTTACGCTCTTCTATTCTAATATTGAAATAAAATTTATGAATGTAAAGTGTACGTTCGAGCGAACAAAATGTATTTTTTTATATAAAGCTTTATTATTGTCGTTTCAGGATTCAACTTCGTTGCTGGATTTGAACTTGCAGAAGGAACAACTCTTGACACAGCTGAGCGAAAGCGGTGAAATCATCGACGAATCCGAGCAGAAAGACGAGGATAATAATGAGGATGCATCAAAGGACACCTCGTTGTCCGTGGTCGAGGATGAAGCGACGAACAGCGTGAAGGCGAGCATCTTCGGAACGCCAATCCTGAAGTCCGCATCAGCGTTCTCGAGGTTGCCATGCTCCGAGAACTTCTCCAAAGAGATGTCACCAGTAATCAACTTCGAGAACCTACCAAACTCGACCGGAAAATATGAACAGATGACGGGAGTGTTGAACAAAATTCGAAAGACACTTAAGAGCGGCCAGGACAAGACATAAATGGATTTAGAGCATCGCGGATGCACAGTTTCAACGTGTTTTTTTTTATATACAGAAGAAGAAAATTTGTACATTCTATTTAGGTTCGGAAAGAGATAACCACAGTTAATCACAGTACAAAGAATTAACTTTTTAAGAAGCCATTTATATAGTAGTAGATCCGTTGTTGTGTAAACAAATACCCAAACCCAATTCAAAATTGTGATTTCTTATTTTTTCTTGTATGTACATTTATTTAAAATAATATATTTTAATATACAATAAATATATTATATATGTATCAATACATAATTCCATAGACACGACATGGATGCAATATTCTGTTCTTTATTATATACTTCTATTTTTTTTTTCTTGTTTTATTTAAATTTATAAGTGTGCCTTAAGTGGTTAAACAATTCAACTTAACTTAAGGTTGAAAAATTAAAGGAAAATATATATATATACTTTTTACTTGTATTAAAAAACAAAGAAGAAATTTCGTTCGTTTCTTTTGTCGCAAGAAAGACCTGCCACCTAAACACTGTACAAAAGAAAGAGAGGAATGTTATGTGAATTGAAAGGACTAAAGAAACGTTAAATTTATTCTGTGCGCTTTTCACCCTATCTGCTCACAGTTTCTTGCAGCCATGATTAGAAGATTCATGCACGGATCGGGCTAATAGACTAATGAATTTATCTAAAGGATATTCGCATTAGCTACGGATTATTACAATTATATCAGCACCGGGATTATCTATCTAATAATAAAAAGGGGTTCTTTGTTTCATTTTTTTTTGGGATTCTTAAGCGAGCAAATACTACTAAGAAATATGTAAGAAAAGAGAAACAATTCAGAAACTTGTGGGTGGTGGAGTGGGCGGATTTCCGCGGGAACTCTGCAAAAAATTAAAAAAAAATATTAACACTAAACAATAAGAATTTAAATTAATTTGGGGCGTATGCTTACATCATTGTTGCGCGGTTTGCTGGTGGCTGGAGGGTTGTTCTCCCTACGGTTCATGTAAATCATTTGGATCAGCAGGTATACAAGCAGCATCACCACAGCAAATGTGTAATTGTGTGGATCAACTGGAGTAGACTCTTCACCAGGAAGACCTACAATTGGAAAATTATAAATTAGCATTGTGCAAAACGATTTGCTGCAATCTGCAGTAATTTACCTGTCTGGTAGCATTCTGTGTCTGTGCAGTCATTCTGTGAATTCCTCAGCTGGAATCAATGCTTATTGTTAATAGGTGTACTACAATTGTTGATGGAAAAACTCACCATGGCCAGGAGTCTGCACATGGAGACCTCATGGGTCCAAGTGCATTCGCAGGGGTCGAATCCATTGTCACCCATTTCTACTGCCTTTGAATTCGTACCTAAACTACCAATTAAAGTAATGGATGCTTGCAACAATATGGGAGCGAAATTCAATATTGAAAAAGGTACTTACCAGTTCTGGGAAATAGAGCGGAGCTTTGAGACGGTTGCCTGGATCTTTTGTGTGTTGTCCTGAAGAAACAATTACTATCGGAACGATTCTTCTACGACGCGACACTATTCGATCCCTGTCCAAAACGCCTCTGTTTATGGTTGACGATGCGAGAGAGGACCAATGCTTATGGAATATCTGTATTCTAGTTCTTGCGTTCGCGCAGTAGTTAGCATTAAGTGCGCCAAAACTTTTGAAATATGAAAATTTGCATCAGTAATCTATTTTCTACAATTTATTAACTCTAGCATTAATACGTTACATAAGTCATAAAATATCATCATCATATCACATATCATATTATTTTTTTTAAATTTGAATTAAAATTAGAGTTTATTTTTAGTACAAACTGTTCAAAACACATTAACATTTATTTATTCCTTTTTTTCAATAATTACCATATTTATATTTAATTTATAAACTGTGTAATTTCGTCGACTTGTGCATTCAATTTTGTTTATCAAATGTATTTATTTATAATGCGATGTACGGAAATTCCCGACTGCGGTTTCCTCTTGTTACATATTAAAGAATATCATAAATATTGCATTTCTTAGGTTAGCTTAAGCTAGGTTAGATCTAATATTAAGAAAAGTCAATCTCCACCATTGCTTTAAATATATTTAGAACTTCCACTGCTTATATTTAGTAGAACCAATTATATCATACTAAAATCATTGGATAATTTTAATATTTGAATTACTTAATCGTTGATACTTTAGAAATATAATTAGAAATTTTTAAAACTCTGAAATTAAAATGGTTTTGTTTATATAAGAAAATGTATCTTTTAAGTATACAGATTATGTTAAGAGTAAATGATTAAAAAAAAACGTGTGGTAATATGGAAAGTTTCACTTTATTGTTCCATTCATATAATAGGAAATAAAATGGGTCGATTAAAGCACTTTTTTTAGAGTAAATCATTAGGCGTGACTCAAAATATCAGTAAATTATTTACGTGCAAATCAAAACAAATCTATATATTTTCAATTTATGACTATTTGTTTGTTTCGTATTAAGTACTCATTGTTAGTCAACTAGACGTAATTTGGTTGGTTTAGTAATCAGTAATTGCGTTTTAAAGACAAATTGATGAAGATGACATAAACCTTTTCGTAATTCTGTATTAAACAATTTTTTTTTCTAAGACAAACTTTCTGAATCTTATACATAATTAAAAACGTATTTAAGTGGAAATATTATGTGAATATTAACCAAGATAATGTCGTAATTATTATAATTGTATATATTGTACTTCAAGGACGTTGCATTGTTATTGCAGCGTTTCATTATTATTATTTTTTTTGCTGGAAAACATGCAAATAGTGAATATTTTGTTAGTAATGACTTTATGAGTTTGTTGTTGTTGTTATTAGTTATCAAATCCTGCCTGAGCGCATACTGCAATTGCAGTTAACGAATGCCTTTTATTCTCTTGATTGCCTGGCTTCGAGCAATTGAAAGAACGACACGTGTTTCCTTTGTAACATTGATAACATTGTGATAACAAATTGCTTTTAACATTTAATTTCGCGCGCACGAATTCATACTCGTCGAAATCCCATTGGCTTTCGCAGTTTTCCAAATTTTCCTAAAGCACTAGTCTCATAAAGTTTTTCATTTTTAGAGATTTACACAAAAACTGTAAAGATTTATAGATAATTTATGGTAACATGAGGAAGGGTCTTCTATTGCGCATCTTCTGATATATAAATCGTCAATTAATGACAAAGATATGAACAATTTTCTTCATATCTTCATGTTTAATTACTTGATAACGAGAAATGACAGTTAGGTCATAATATATGCAAATTATAGATAAAGCTGTGGGGTTTCTTCCGGTGATATGTTTTTTACTTAAATATAATTATTTGAGCATTTGTTACATCTCAAAACTCGTAATTTAGTCTTTTTAGCGCTGAATTATAATTATGAATTTAATAGAAAATGTAGATTTTCAAAAAGGTTTGATATTAACTTATTGGTTTAAATATGTAAAATATTTTCGAAATAAAGCAAATTAATGTTGCGAGCTACTAGGTTCTTGGCAAATGAAAAATATTTTGTTTTTATATATATGCAACTGAATATACACGCATGCACATGTAGTATGCTACAGTAAAGATGTGCATATGAAATCTCACATTTTATTTAATTACTCAATAAAGTGAATAGTGAAACATATTCAAAAATATACATAATATGTATATACAAAGTTTTGAAAATGATGTAGAAGGCGGGAAATCTGGGACTTCTCTTCTCATTGTCACTCGTTATGCGAAACATCGCTCGTTAAGCGAGTCATTTTTCTTACAATTAATTTTGCTCGTTATGCGAGGTTCCACTGTATTCTCATATTTTTTGAAAACGCTGTTGGAATGCATTTTTTTTTATCAATTTTGACGATTAACTAGAAAACTTAATTATCAGATGGAATTATAATAAAACTATAAATATTAAAAGAATAGCTAAAAACACAAAGTTATAGAAAAACTAAAAATTAAAGGGAAAGAAATCGCGGTAAAAACATGTGTTACCTATATTGGAAAGACACTTTACGTTCTAAGAAATATAACAATAAATTTCTAAAAAATATACGAGAAACCATGTGGTCTCTATTCTCCCCTGTTACGTAAAAAATCACTTACTTGAAAGGAGATACTAAATACTATTGTATAAACAAATGTAATGACGTATTTAACATGCGGTACTCAACTGGTATGGCGTGACAACCCGGCGGTCTCCAGTTCCAACAATTTTAATGAACCCATGGGAAGGGCTTACGCAATCGCCTGGAAAGTACCTAAACAGGAGCGCGAAATTTGGGGATTTATGGTAGTACCATGGGGGCGTAGCTCAGATGGTA